CGTCGTCGTCGTCGTCGGAGGAGGAGGAGGAGGAGGGGGAAGAGGAGGAGGAGGAGGAGGAGGAGGAGGACGGAGAAGGAGGAAGAATCGGAGGAGGAGGAGGAGGAGGGGAAGGAGCTTCTTGGGGGTCTTTTGAGGGCCTCTTGGAGGGCTTTTTGGGCGCCTTGGGGCATCTTGGGCGCCTCTTGGGACCCTCTTGAGGCGCTCTGGGGAGCCTTCGGGGCGCTTTTGGGGCCATCTTGGAGGGAGTCGATCAAACAAGAGGGGGGGTTTAATTAGCGCCCCCCCTCGGAAGCCCCTAAAATCGCCTCTTGGACCCCTCTTGGAACGCTCTTGGAGTGCTCTTGGGCGCTCTTGGGGCCGTCTTGGGGCTCTTTTGGGGCTCTCTTGGGGCCCTCTTGGGCCATCTTGGAGCCATCTCCAGGCCTCGGATGGCCATCGGAAGCGAAAAGGCGAGAAAGCAAAAATCATTGATTTTCCTTAGGTTTTGGGACGATTTTGGCCTCTTCGGGGCCTCCTTGGGGAGCTGTTTGGCCACTTGGAGTTATCTTGGGGCCGTCTTTGGGCTTCTTGGAACCATCTTAGGAGCCATCTCGAGCGATCTTGCGCTATCTTGAGCCATCTTGGAGCTCATCTTGGGTTCTCTGAGGCGCTCTTGGAGCCGTCTTGGGCCATCTGGACGCTCTAACTACCCGCGGCCCCCCCCGTCCAGGTCCAGGGGAGGGGGTAGGGGGAGGGGTAAACCCCTCCCCAAGGGGGAAGAGGGAGGGGTGGAAGAGGATCTGCTCTAGACCACCTACGCCCAGAGGGCTGGTGGGATTATGACCCCGTCAATCCCACCAGCCCTCTGGGCGTAGGTGGTCTAGAGCAGATCCTCTTCCACCCCTCCCTCTTCCCCCTTGGGGAGGGGTTTACCCCTCCCCCTACCCCCTCCCCTGGACCTGGACGGGGGGGGCCGCGGGTAGTTAGAGCGTCCAAGATGGCCCAAGACGGCTCCAAGAGCGCCTCAGAGAACCCAAGATGAGCTCCAAGATGGCTCAAGATAGCGCAAGATCGCTCACGATGGCTCCTAAGATGGTTCCAAGAAGCCCAAAGACGGCCCCAAGATAACTCCAAGTGGCCAAACAGCTCCCCAAGGAGGCCCCGAAGAGGCCAAAATCGTCCCAAAACCTAAGGAAAATCAATGATTTTTGCTTTCTCGCCTTTTCGCTTCCGATGGCCATCCGAGGCCTGGAGATGGCTCCAAGATGGCCCAAGAGGGCCCCAAGAGAGCCCCAAAAGAGCCCCAAGACGGCCCCAAGAGCGCCCAAGAGCACTCCAAGAGCGTTCCAAGAGGGGTCCAAGAGGCGATTTTAGGGGCTTCCGAGGGGGGGCGCTAATTCACCCCCCCCTCTTGTTTGATCGACTCCCTCCAAGATGGCCCCAAGAAGCGCCCAGGAAGCCCCAAGAGGTCCCAAGATGGCCCCAAAATGGCCCCAAGAGGCCCCCAAGAGGCCCCCCGGAGGCCCCCAAGAGACCCCCAAGAGGCCCCAAGAGCCCCCCCAGATGCACCCAAGATGCTCCAAGAGGCCTCGGCGAGAATGCCTAATCATTGATTCTACACAGGTTTTAGCCACATGGAGGCCTCTTGGGGGGGGGCACGGATTAAGATGACTCCAAGAGCGTCTGGGAGAGCCCAAAATGACCTCCAAGATGGCTCAAGATATCCCAAGATGTCTCATAATGGCTTCCTCTGTGTGCTGCCCACTTCTCTGATCGAGGCAATTCCTCTGGGCATCGTTTCTGGATGGGCTGGTGGGGATTCGCGAAGCGACAACAATTTTCTCAAGCAACCCAGTGCCCCTCACCTCAGATTCCAGAGCGTTGAAGTCGCCCCCAATGACGAACGGCTTTCCCATGGAGAACAGAAACTCCCCAACCTGGAAAAGAATGCGGCGGCCCTCGGCCCCTACACCGTCCCCGCTCGGGAGGTAAACACTGGCAACGTTAAAACCTCCCGCGACGCAGCCCCCGACCCAAGCCAAGACGGCCCTGGAATGAGGTCGAGGCTCCGAGGGATTGCTGCCCATGCCTACCCCCTTGCGGACGGCCAAACCTAGCCCTGCTGATAAACCTTCAGACTGGGTCACATCACAGGTTCCAAAACGAACATTCCATCCTACTTTGGCCAAGGTGTTCGAAGCCTGAGCGGTATCGCCTACCTTGACCTTTGTCTCTTGAAGGAAACAAACTTGTGACTGGCATTCCTCCTCTAGAAACGACTGGCACCGTGGCCAGCTAGTGACATTAGCTGAGACAACATCCCAATTCAGGCCGTCAGGTACCACACGAGCGTGTCGGTGACCTGCTGCGGTTGTCCCTCTTGCCCGCCTCCTCTCTCTCCTTCTCCATCTGCTCTTTGACTTTATCCAACACGGATGTGACGCACTGCTGAGCGCGTTCATCTCCATGGAACTCCGACCGTAGCCCGTCTCCCACTCGAGCAAGGGCATTGTCGGCTCCCTCCATGTGCGCATCCTGCTGGGACTCGTCGATCTCGATGCCCGTTGGGGGGCCTCCACTGCCTCGGCCACGAGCAGCATCAGCACGAGCTGCGCGACGACCCTCAGCAAAGGCTGCATTCTCCCCATCACCACGTTTCTCACGCCTCGGCCTCGCCTGGCCGCCCCCAGCGGAGGCTGGGGCGCCTGGGGCTGGGCCGCCAGCGGCGGGAGCGGCAGCCGCTGCCGACGGCTCCTTCGCCTCCGCCGCTGCCACTGCTGCCTCCAAGGTCCCGCGCATCGTCTCGAAGGCCTTGCGCAATCCTTCGCCAGCCTCCCCCTCGGGGATCGCTCCGACGAAGGCGTCGAGCGCCTGCTGCATGGGCTGGGCGATCGACGCAGACGGCGCCGCCGCCTTCGCCTCGCCCACACCGCCCTGCGCTCCCAGCGAGAGCCCGCGGGCCTTCGCATCCTCGAGCTGCTGCTGGACGGTGTCCAGCTCCTCCTGCGCCTCGATAGCGGCCTTGACCGCCTCCTCTGCCTTCGACTGCATGCGCGCCACCTTCTGCTTAAGGTGAACCATCTGCTGACTGTACTTCCCGATGAGCGTATTGATCTGCGCCGCCTCAGCCTTGGCCCCAGAGAGGCCGTAGTTCTGGAGCGCACGCTGATGCATGAGTGAATCACGTTGGTGGCGAGGGATGGGCTGCGAAGCCAGCGCGAACTGCTCCTCCGAGAGGTTGAGCCACAGGGCCTTCTCCTCAGACGTGAGCTCGCGCTTGGGAGGAGGGGGCGCCTTGCCTCCTCCCCCACCGCCTCCACCGCCGCCGCCGCCTTTACCCTTGTATCCGTTCTCCTTGCCGCCGCCGCCGCCAGGGAAAAAGACACCGCCGCCCTTGCCCCCTTTGCCGCCGCCGCCAAGACCGCCAATGCCCCACCACGGGTTCCCCCAGGAGTACTGGACCTGCGGGATAGGGCCTTGGGGGTTCCGACCGTTGCACCCTGCCTGCTTGCACGTGCCTCGGTGCCCGAAGTTGTAGAAGCCACAGGTCCCGCACGTCCACGCTGGCGCCATCGCGGCGGCGCTGCACGGAAGGACCTCGCAAAAGGCCCACGGCGGCTCGGGCAGCGCGCCGTGGGTTCGCCAGAAAAGCCTCGGCCTCCTGTCGGCCTCGAGAGTGGCCACGGATCGCCAAGGCTAATCGCTGGTTCTCGGGCGTCTATAGCCCTTCACAACGTTTAGCCTTGAGCCAAAATGGCTGCGGATCCTCCTCCTCCTCCTCCTCCTCCTCCTCCTCCTCCTCCTCCTCCTCCCTCCCTCCCTCCCCCCCTCCCTCCCTCCTCCTCCTCCTCCTCCTCCTCCTCCTCCTCCTCCTCCTCCTCTCCTGCTCCTGCTCCTGCTCCTGCTGCTTCCTCCTCCTCCTCCTCCTCCTCCTCCCTCCTCTTCCTCCTCCTCCTCCTCCCCCTCCTCCTCCTCTTCCTCCTCCTCCTCCTCCTCCTCCTCCTCCTCCTCCTCCTCCTCCTCCTCCTCCTCCTCCTCCCTCCTCCCTGCCTCCCTCCCCCTCCCTCCCTCCCTCCTCCCTCCCTCCCTCCCTCCTCCGTCCGTCCCTCCGTCCTCCGTCTCCGTCCCTTCCTCCCTCCTCGCTCTCTCCCCCTCCTCCCTCCTCCCTCCTCCCTCCTCCCTCCTCCCGCTTCCCTCCTCCCTCCTCCCAGGCATGCTGACGCCGTGAACAAAGAATCAAGACAGGAGGTCTTTGTCGGTTTTCGGCCTCGGGTGGCTCCCGCCGGGCCCGGGCCCCAGGACCGCCAGGGTTAGAAAAAGCGGCCCTTGGGAACGGGTCGGGACCTCTGGCGCCCCCGTATATTGAAAACTCAAACACCTGATGTTTGGGGATATTCCGAGGATCCCACGCTGCCCGATATTTGCATGGCGCTGTTGAGCATCCTGGCGCGGCCGATCCCATTCGATTTCGACCCCGTGCTGACTCAGCCCGAGCCGACGCACCTTCCGATTCGATCCGATGTCCCGATTCGATGCGAAGGGTTCCTGCCTCTCTGAAGGGAGCGGGTGCCCTCTCGAGATCTGGGTCCTCCTCATAAGCGGCCCCCGTGCCCGCCCCGGCCCTCTCATTATGGTGTGCGTTCTGGCCAGGAGGTCGAGTAGCGCATCCGGTCGAGGAGATGGGGGGCGCGCCAGGAAGGCCAGACAAGGCAGAAGAGCCTCAAGGATTCTCCCCCCCTCCCAGACATCCGGCTGCTCCAATTTTTCCGAGGCGTGGGCCCTGGAGGTCTGGACCACTTCCCCACAGGGCATTATTTTTGTTGTCCCGAGCCGTTCTTTGACGCTCCCGAGGCCCGTCGAGGGCCCCTGGAGGCCGAACGCGACCCCCAAACCGCCCGCTCCAGTGTTTGTTCGCAGCACCGGATCTCCAGCCTCCCTCCCCGGTCCCCCCCTTGGATGTCTGTCGGAGGTCTGGGCTCCAGGTCGGCCGGAGGGGCGGGGCCTTCACACCGCGCGAGGTGGGAGAGGTCCTCCGTGCTGGGGCGGGCCTCCGTGAAGCCCGCCGCCCCGCAGCGGGCCGCCTCGGCGGCCGCGGAGCGGGGCGACCACGAGGGGCCCGCCTGCGCGGCGGCCTGCTGAGGGCCCGCCGGGGGCGCCCCCCGCCGGGCGCCCCTGGGGAGGGGCCACCTCCTCACGAGGCCGGCGGCCCGGCGCCCTGCAGGAGGGCCGCCTCGACGGCTGCTGCGGGGCGGCTGCCGCAGCACGAGATTCCCGCTCGCGCGGCTGCCTCCCGAGGGCCCGCCGGGGGCGTCCCCCGCCCTGGGCGCCCCCGGGGAGGGGCCACTTCTCGGGCTTGCAGCCCGCCGCCCTGCAGAGGGCCGCCTAGATGTCCGCGGAGCGGGGCCACCGCAGCACGAGGGTCCCGCTCGCGCGGCGGCCTGCTCTGAGGGCCCGCCGGGGGCGCCCCCGGCGATCGGCGCTCGCCGCCCCCCCCCCCCTGCCTCTTCCCCCCCCCTCCTCTTCCCCCCCCCGCCTCTTCTCCCCTTGGGGGGGGGCCTGCCAGCAGGGGCGCAGCTGCGCCTGGCGGCGCCAGCCCGGGGAGGAGGGTGCGAGGGCGGCGTTTCGCTCGCCGTCGTCTGTTGATGGACGAAGGGCTAGCAGAAGTTGCGCAGGGGGGCCCCTGATTAGGGCGCCTGGGAAGTTTACACCCCGGCGTGTCACAGTGGGGGTGCAAGCTTTCCTCGTCCGCGTAAGGCGTCGTCCTGTCTCAGTGCGGACGGCAGGGGGGCATCTTGCGGGGTGTCCGTCTCTGGAGGCTTGCGGCAAAATGCCGACGACGGGGCCGACGGCGACGACCGTGTCAGCGGCGCGGCGGCGGCGACGACTGCGGCGGCGCCAACGATGACGTCGGCGGCGGCGACGAGGGTGGCGACGACAGCGGTGACGGCGACGAGGGCGACGGCGGCGACGGCGACGCATTTCGACGGTTACCAAGGCCGACGGCGGCGACGGGGGCGACGGCGACGGCGACGAAGGCGACGACGGTAGCGGTGACGCGACGCTACGGCGACGCGCGACGACGGCGGCGACGGCGGCGGCGGCGCGATGGCAGCGGTCACGGCGACGACGGCTGCGACGGCCTCGACCGTGACACCGCCGAGGCGATTCTGGCAGCGGTGGCAACCACGGCGCTGATAGCCACGGCGACGACGGCGACGTCGACGGCGGCGGCCGTGACGGGGGTGTGGCGAAGTAGATTGGTGGGTGCTCCAGAAGTGATCGAGGGCTCCAGTACATGGGGCCCCAGAGGGCTCAAGCTGACTAAGGGCGTCTGCACGTGGGGCTCTCCAGAGGGCCCAGAAGGTAATTAACCCTTGACGAGGATGTAGGTGCCACCCACGTCTTGAGTGCCCACGCCGCAAGCCTGCATAGTCCGGAGGGGAGAGCAGTAACCTGGAGAGGCAATTAAGAACCCCCCGCCTCTCCAGCGAAAGTATAACGCTCCAGCACCCTGGAAGAGTTACCCTGGCATTTCGCAACCTGCTTTGAACGCAAACGAGTCTGCCCGCCGAAACAAGGAAACCGCCTGAAACATTCTCGCAATCTGGCCTCCGTGTGGTTCTAAAACAAGCGCCTCGCCTGAGACATCCTCAGAAACTGCTCTGAACGCAGACGAGTCTGCCGTGGGGAAGTCCTGTGGTGGAGTCCTACGGGGAGTCCTATCTGGGAGGGGGATGGGAATATCCAGGATTCCTACAGGTTCCCATGGGGATACCGCCCGAGCCAAGGCGCAGGACTTATTCATGTTCCTTTCTTTTGCGCGGTGCTAAAGATATCGTTCCGCGAAAACCGCCTTCAAGAGTTATTCAAGTACGGTGCGGTGGTAACGATAACCCCGGGGGGGTTCTCAACTGCTTACTGCGGTTAAGCCGGGGGCGGCCGCGAGAGACTCTGCGGCCCGCCTTCGCCTGTGTGCGCCTCCGGCCGCAGGCGGCCCTGTCCTGCCCTGCTCGGAGGTGGGTGGGCCACGACGAACAGACCCAGCCGCAGATCGACGCCAAGAAGCCCCCCGGAAAGCATGCGGGAAGCGACAGGAAGCGCAAGGGGGGGAGGGCGGAGATCTACAGAACACGCCGGAGCACAACCGGGGGGGGGGGGGCACCCTGGAGGCGGTGCCTACGTGCGCGTGCCCCCCCCCCGGGGGTCCCCAGGAAGCCCCCCGGAGGGCCGCACCCCTCGTGCCGCTCCCCACCTGCCCGCCGCAGGGGCCCGCGCCGCGCAAGGCTCTCTCGGGGCCCACGAGACGGGGGTCCAATGCAAACGGGGATCAGCCAGGTGATTTTTTTGTGTGTGTGTGTGTGTGTGTGTGTGTATGCGTTTGCCGATCGGCGCGGGCCTCCAAACCCCCTTCCCCCTTTCCGGGAGTAGATCTTGGCTGCTTTGGGCGCCCGTTGGGAGCAGGTGGAGCCTCCCCTCGTAGGACCCGGTGCTGCAAACAGTCACGCTAAGCAGAGGTCTGGAGCCAGACCCCCCCTCCCCCCCCCTCCGCCCAATGTCGAAGCGCCGAATAAAAGAAACACTCACCAGAGCGCCGGGGCTTGCAGGATCCTGCAGGGCCAGGGCTGCATTGGGTGCAGGATCCCGCATGATCCTGAGGGATCCTGCAGGATCCTGCAGGGCCTGATTGACCCGGGTCTGGATTGACCCGGGTCAGTCGGTCCCCGGGACTCGAGAAAAAAGTGCACGCTCCGCGGCGCCCAGTCGCCGTGAGGGAGGGGCAGATCCGGCTGCACGTTCGAGTGACCCTTCGCGGCTGGGGTGACTTCTGGTGCGGGCCCAAATCGCTCAATGCCTTGGCATCGCTCGGACGTGTGCATATCTTCCTCGGCGAGGGCCATCGAGGAGCAATCGGATCACCTGGCGAACAAGTGCACGCACGACATCGAAACATGCATGGGGAATGGACGTCCGAGCTACGGCGAGATGCGATGTGATAGCAGCGGCTTGTGCGCCCAGTGGTGTCCTAAAGGGCCCCCGCTTAGGCCGCGCATCAAAGGGTCACTCTTGGCTATTGGGCCGATCTTGTGTGTGGCCGACCTGTCGCGAGCCCCAGCGCGGCGTGCCCAGACACCCCGTCAAGTCGTGGCAAAAATCACGACAGAAGGTCCCTCGCTATTCTCTGCCTCTGAGAGCCCGCACTGGGCCTCGGGGCCGTCAAGAGGTGCGTTCCAAGAAGGGCCCTGCCTTCCAGGATCTACGGAGTTGCCATCTCCTCCGCGGCGGAAGGGCGGCGGAGGGGCGGCGGAAGCACAACGAGGGCGGCTCCGCCGGGGGAAGCCGGCGCGGAAGGATGGCGGCAGGCGGCGGAAGGAAAAGATGCGCCCCCAAGAGATGAACAAGTTTTTGTTGGGTTCAGTGTGGCGGGCATCCGCCAAGATAATTACCAGCCTCGAACTTATCCCTATCCGTAAGATTGACACGCCAAAAGACGATGACAATCTTAGGGGTGCGCCCTCAAAAACTCAGGGAATCCCTAAGACTGGCATTGTGATGAGGCGATGCCCAGCTTAGGGATAGGGATACGTTCCAGGCTGGTAAGAGAAGGCCCAGGCTGGAAAGCCGGTGCACGAGGCAGTGTCCGCACTGCCGCGGCGAGCACACAGACGTAGAACAGGTTTGAAGAGGGGAAGAGACACGCAGAGACACAATTCATCGTCGATCCCCAGGAACATGTGGTAAATATGGGAAGCGGGGGGGGGAAGACGAACATCCAGAAAGTATAGGAAAACATGGGGAGTCTAGGGATTTGTGTGTATTTATTTGTGTGTGTCCCTGGGCCCCTTCAAAGTTTTCCGAGCGGGAGGCCGTGCCCAGCGAGGCCTCCGTGTCACTTGGGCCAGCGCCCTGCTCCAAAGCGTGGGGATACCCATCAGCTTATGCGTCACACTGTGAGGACACTCTCATTGCTCCCATGCCTCGAAGAAAAAGAATAAGCGCCATAAACATAAACTGGTGGCGCTCTACGCGGATTTCTGGGGCTCCGGCGCCGCCCCTGGCGCGCTCCGCGCGCCAGAGAGGGGGGTCCAGCGCAGATCCAAGAAATCCGCGCGGAGCGCCAAAAGTTTATGTTTACAGCGTTTTTGTCCAATCGTAAAAAAACAAAAACCTCCCAGGGAATGGGTCGATACCTCTGTGGTCGACGTTTGTGAAAAAGCATGGCGTCGGGGGTCTGGACGATGTGTCCAGTGCCGCGGCGGTCTTCTCTATGCCGACCTCGGGCCCTCGTTGCTGCGACCCGCTGCGAGCGTTGCGCCGTAACCCTGAGATCGGGTGTCGTGATTTTTTTTAATACGGGGTCCCCAGAAGTCTCGACCCATTCCCCATGACCAGTGTTTCATCCTGAGTCGTTTTTTGACGGTCCCGGGGCCCAGCGAGGGCCCCTCGAGGCCAGACATACGGAAAACCTCCGTCTTGATTGTTGTCAGTGCGTTGGATCTCTGGGTTAGAGGGATGTTTCGCCAGAGTGACCTTCAGCGCGGGCACACAGGGGACCCCCCACAATGACGACGCGCGGTGCGGCAGAGGGGTCACGTCTTGACTGCTCGGGCCCGGCCTCCCTGCGGGTCCCGGGAGCCGCGCACCAAAGGCCAAAGGCAACTCTTGCCTACGTAGGGTCACTCCTGCGCGTAGACGAGAACGGGGGGGGTTAATTGAAGGAGAACAAATTGCCGTAAACATAAGCTTTTGGCGCTCCGCGCGGGTTTCTTGGATCTGCGCCAGGCCCCCCTGGCCCCGCGGCGGCGCCTCCGGCGCCGCCCCTGGCGCCGCCCCTGGCGCGCTCCGCGCGCCAGGGAGGGGGGTCCAGCGCAGATCCAAGGAGTCCGCGCGGAGCGCCAAAAGTTTGTGTTTCTGGCGTTTTTGTCCAATCGGATAAAAAAACCTCCCAGGGAATGGATCGATACCTCTGTGGTCGACGTTTGTATTTATGGCGCTGGTTCTTCTGGTCGAGGAAGGTGCACCAATCGTGCACCTCGGGGGGCCCCCTATCGGGGGCCCGCTGGGACATGGGGCGCACGCCTCCCCGCCCCCCCCCGCGAGCAACGCCCAGCGGACCCGCCTCGGGAGTCGGGCCGGAACGCGCCCCGGGACGGGTCCAGGGGGCAGATGCCGAGGAGGACCCGGATCCTTCCCATCGGGGGCGGCCATGGAGGGGGGTGATGACTAGGGGGGGGTGGATATCATGGCGTGGGCCATGATAGTTCGCCAGATCTCCTGGCGCCTCGTCTTGTTTCATGACGTCTCCGGCCCCCCCCCTGGGCCCGCGCACATGCCGCCGGCCATGACATGCGCCCCCCCCTCTTGGACGCCCCCCTCTTGGCCGCCCCCGATGCTGAGGAGGACCCGGATCCTTCCAGCGTGACGGAACAGTGCAGACGGAGATGTTCTTTGAGGTCTGCGCATCGGGTTGGGGGGGCTGGTCGGTTAACAGCGGTCCAGGATGAAGTTCGCGGAACGATCCGTCTCGAAGACTCGTTCCAGGGAAGGGTCCAAAGTCGAGAGTTCTCTTTGCGATTATTCCCACGACCTGCTTCATCTGCTGTCGCGACACCCGACGTGTAGATCCAGTGAGCAGCACGGTGTTTCGGCGTGCTGCTGCTAAGTGCGATGCGGCTGTTTCGGCTGTTTCGGCGTGCTGCTGGAGAGTGTTTTTAACTTCGACGCCGTCTGCTGCTAGCAGACCTACGTCTGCAGCCGCGGTTAGAGTCAGCTCGTTTCGATGTTATGCAGTTTTTGCAGAGCGGGTCATCCTTCTCATCCTCGTCCATGTCTCCCCCCTCCGTCTCCCCTTCCCTTCTCCACGAGGGGACTCCCAATCATCTCAAGCCTCCCTCTCCTCCTTTTCCTCCTGACCCTCCCACTCCCCCCTCCTCCGGCTCCTCCTCCTCCTGCTCCCCCTTCTCCTCCTCCTCCTCCCCTTCCACCTCAGAGCCCATTGGACGCCCGCTGAGCATTGAATTAATCCATGTAGCCTACAACCCCGACGTACCGTAGACCCCTAAACCTTCAAGACCTTGTGGGAAACCGACAACCTTCTGAAGTGTCCTCCCTCCCCCTCCACTTCCTTCTCCTCATCGCCCCCACCACCGACAGGAGTGCGAAAATCTTAGTGCTCCTCGCTTTGCGGTCCGGCCCCCCGGTGTTTGCCCCTGTCCAGGGCGGCCGCGCGAGAGCGCGAAGGCAATCAGCACTGCGCGTGGCGCGAAGTGCGACGTCGGGTGACCTTGTCCTCTCCCTTTTCCGTTCCTCCTCTATGGTAGGTTTCAGTCGGCTGCGTCCCTCTTCAGGAGGAGACTTCCAAAATTGTCAGAAATAATGTCAGGAAGATTTTTCCTATTGGGCACTTGTTTCCCTAGTTTCCGTACTTTCGCCCAAAATCCGTCTGTAGGAGGACATGCCCGACCTAACTCTGCGGTACGTTCATGCGGCGTTGGCGCGCCGGCGACGCCGGCGAAAGCGCTCAAGTTTCAATTCTGCGACGTGAAAGCATCGAAGGACACGGTGATGCCGTTGGACGCGATCGAATTCAACCTTGAACGATCGGGGCTGCGATCGATCAGAGGCGGAACGATCGACGCGGTGTCATGAAACCTTTGCGCTCGCCGACGCCGCACGAACCTATTGTAATTAGGTGAAAACACTGACGTAAGCATAAACGCTCGGATGCCCGCGCGGATCTCCGAGTTGTTATGTTGATTGTTCCCCAATGTTCCTCCTCCTCCTCCTCCTCCTCCTCTTCCTCCCCCTCCTCCTCCTTCTCCTCCTCCTCCTCCTCCTCCTCCTCCTCCTCCTGCTCCTGCTCCTCCTCCCCCTCCCCCTCCCCCCCTCCTCCTCCTCCCTCCTCCCTCTCCGCCTCCTTCTCCTCCTCCCCCTCCTCCTCCTCCTTCTCCTTCCCCTCCCCTCGCTCCTCCCCCCCCCCGCTCCTGCTCCTCCTCCTCCTCCTCATCCTCCTGCTCCTCCTCCTCCTCCTCCTCCTCCTCCTCCTCCTCCTCCTCCTCCTCCTCCTCCTCCCCCCCCCCTTTGCAGCCGAGCTGCGCAAGTTGTCTCGGCCAGCTCTCTGTTCCTGCTGGGATGTCAGGACCTCGGTCGCCCCTCGCCCCTCCCATCTCGCCTCCCGAGGTCTTCGGCGTGGTGCGTTTCAGTGTGTCCTCGCCACCTCTGGGGGGCGGCGCGAAGTTGTTCGCGTTTTGTCCTCCCTCCCTCCCTCCGGGGGGTCGTAGAGGGGAGGCGTTATCCAAGGGCGCCTTCGAGGGCGCGAGATTATTCACGCTTCGCGGTTCTTTTCCTTATCCTCCTTATCCTCCTCATCTCCCCTGGGGGGCGGCGCAAGAGCGCGAAGCTATTCGCGCTTCGCGCAGCGCGAGAGCGCGAATTGTGATCCCAAGGCGGGGTCGGGGAACGAAACCAGCTGGATGCTCACATTTCCCTCTCCCAGGACTCCCAGGGGCCGTATGGAGCAGCTTTGTCACCAGAACTTTACGTACTTCAGTCCCCCGAGTGTTCTCCCTTCAGCTCCCCGCCCCCTCGCGCTGTGACGCAATCACGACGGAAGGTTTTTCGGTATTCTCTGCCTCTGGGGGCCCTTACCCGGCGTCGGGGTCGTCAACAAAACAACTCAGGATGAAAAACGGGTCCGTGGGAAGGGGTCCAGATTTTTGAGGTTCACGCCATGAGAAAATCACGACGTCGGGGGTCTGGGCCGTTTTTTTTCGCAGCGTCGGATCTCATAGCCGGATTAGTTCACAACCATCCTGTGGTGTTGGGTCCTCGTTGTGAAGAGACAGCGCCGCCCATTCCGGCACACCCCTCACACGTTTCGTGGTCCTCTGGGGGGGCTCCATCGAAGGCCCGAGTGGCTGTGACCTCATGCGTCTTCGCCACCCATTCCAGCACACCCCTCACACGCGTTGTGGCCCGATTTGTGAGCGCTAACGAAGAGGATACACGCCGGTCGTTGAAAGTAGGTATTTTTGGATTCCCAGATCCCAATCTACTTCAAGCGCCTTCCTACTTCAAGAATCGGCTTGCTGTTGCTGTGTTTTGTTGTTCTCTGGGAGGACCTGGACCCAATCTACTATATCCGCCTTCCTACTTCATGTCTCTACATACTTCTTCCGACGGACGTGTACGCACCACAAGGTCGGGTCCCTCGCCAGGAACAGTTGTCCTGCGCCGGGTCGGCGGCCCCCGGGGCCCGCAGCGGGCCTCCCGGGGCGCAGGTGTCGGGGGCCGCCTCCCCGTCTTGCGTCTTGTCCTCCGTCCCTCCCCCCCCATCTCGGCTACAGTCGGGGCCCTGAAGAAGGAACCCGTTTGGTTGGGGAGGGGCTCCGCGTTCCTTAAGTGTTTCGCAGCTCGCCTCAGGTTTTCCTTATGTTTTCGACAGGACATCGAAGGTTAACTCATGGAAAAAAGGGCCCCGTTCCTTATTTAGGGTTCCTTAGGTCAACGCCCCGACTGTACTCGCGAGAGTGACCTTTCGCCGGAGTGACCTTTGCTGCGGGGGGTCATGGAGGGGGGGCGTTACCCAAGGGCGCCTGCGAGGGCGCGAGGTGACTCACGCTTCGCGGTTCTTTTCCTCACCCTCCTTGTCCTCCTCATCTCCCCTGGGGGGCGGCGCGAGAGCGCGAAGTTATTCGCGCCTCGCGCAGCGCGAGAGCGCAAAATTAGGAGCCCTTGCTATCCCAAGGCGGGGTCGGGAAACGAACCCAGCTGGATGCTCACATTTCCTTCTCGCAGGGGCCGTCTGGAGCAACTTTGTCACCCCAATTTTACGTACTTCAGTCCCCCCAATTGCTGCGGGCACGGTGGGTTCCCTAGATGGCCGAACGCGATGCGATAGCAGCGTCTCGCGCGCTCGGGTTTGACCCCAACTTTTCGTCCCCCCGATTGTTGCGGGCACAATGAGTTCCGTACTAAATGGGAAGGCTTGTTCAAGGGGGGTTGTCCGGTGGGGTTGTCCTGATCCCCGCTGGATTGGCCAAGGGGTTGTCCGGGATAGACCGTCCTGTCGTCATTACTCGGCACAGGTTGTCTGGGTTGTCTGGGGGGTTGTGGGTTGTCCGCGGATTTTTCTCAACCATCTTGTGGTGTTGGGTCTTCGTTTTGAAGAGACAGCGCCCCGCGTTCCTCCTCCTTCTTCTCCTCCCCATCCCCCTTCTCCCACCATTGCCTCTGCCCTCCGCATGTCCACCATTTCAGCGCACCCAATACCACGCTTCCTGGCCCCATTGGGAGCTCCACCGAAGGCCCCAGTGGCCGTGGCCGCGGACATCCCCACCACCAATTTCGGCGCACCCAGTACCACGCTTCATGGCCCCATAGGGAGCTCCACCGAAGATCCCAGTGGCTGTGATCACATGCGTCCCCGCCACCAGTTTTGGCACACCCCTCGCACGTTTCGTGTCCCCATAGGGAGCACCACCGAAAGCCCCAATGACTGCGCCCGCATGCGTCCCCGCCACCCATGTCGGCACACCCCTCACACGTTTCGTGGCTTCATACGGAGATTCACCGAAGGCCCCAGTGGCTGTGATCACATGCTTCCCCGCCACCCATTTCGGCACACCCCTCACAGGTTTCGTGGCCCCGTGGTGAGTTCCACCGAAGGTCCCAGAGGCTGTGACCACATGCGTCCCCGCCACTCATTTCGGCACGCCCCTCACGCGCTCCAAGGCCCCATAGGGAGCTCCACCAAAGGCCCCAATGGCTGTGATCACATATGTTCCCGCCACCCACGTCGCCAGACCCCTCATACTCTTCGTGGCGCTATGGGGAGCTCCACCGAAGGCTCCAGTGGCTGTTATCACATGCTTGCCCCCACCCACTTCGGCACACCCCTCCCACGTTTCGTGGCCCCATAGGGATCTCCACCAAAGGCCCCAGTGGCTGTGACCTTGGCCCCATTGGGAGCTCCACCGAAGGCCCCAGTGGCCGTGGCCACGGACATCCCCACCACCAATTTCGGCGCACCCAGTACCACGCTTCGTGGCCCCATAGGGAGCTCCACCGAAGGTCCCAGTGGCTGTGATCACATGCGTCCTCGTCACCGATTTTGACACCCCTCACAAGTTTCGTGTCCCCATAGGGAGCACCACCGAAAGCCCCAATGACTGCGCCCGCATGCGTCCCCGCCACCCATGTCGGCACACCCCTCACACGCTTCGTGGCCCCATAGGGAGCTCCACCGAAGAGGATACGCACCACACAAGTGCACATCGTTGGGCCCTTCGCCAGGATACTAGTTGATCGCATTATTTCTCGATTGATCATAGTAGATGGCCGAACGCGATGCGATAGCAGCGTCTCGCGCGCTCGGGTTTGACCACCCTCGGCGCCCCCCTGAAACTGCGCACCACATGCCACTCTTGCCAAGGGTCACCCCTGCGAGCAGCCGACCACCCCCCAGCGGAACTGTTCCAGGAGGCTTTCTGGCCAGAGTCTCCGTGCGGATCCGGTCGTGACGGCAAGGGCGGTCCAAGAAGCCCCAGATCCTACCTGTTCCTTGTGCTCCTATCCATCCTAGCCGAGCTACACGTACAGGCGATCGCGCCCGCAGTGCCTAATCTTCGTTCCTCTTTGTCCGCCGCCTCCTCCTCCTCCTCCTTTCTCTCGTCCTTCCGCGGGCTGGATTTGAAGAGAAGCCGTGCGAAGCTCTGCCGCAAGCTCCGACGTGTCTCAGCGGAGCGACTTTTTCTCGGTCGCGGCCCGGGGCGTCTTCGTAGAAGCGGGCCTTACAGAGCGATCGCAGTTGTACGCCTGATTGCCGTTGCGCGCTGCCCGTCCACAGCTATCAGGGGCAACGATCTGATGGGGGGGGATAGGCCAAGGGGGGGATACATCGACTCCCAATCGCCTGCCCAGGAACGGTCGGACTCACTATCCGGGGCCTATCGCCGATCTATCGGCGATGTATCGCCGATTCCAGGCCCATGTGTCTTCCCTATGCCTATCACCCCCTATCGTTGCCCCTCAAGCTACGCTCGACATCGCTCCCCCTCCACATGCGAGCTTCCGAGCTGTGGGCCTCAGCGCCACGCGGGCGCAGTCCTCCCTCCTCTTCCTCCTCCTCCTCCTCGAGCAGGATCGGAGGAGGCCTGTGTGGTGTGGCGTCGGCGTGGCTGCGCGCAAAATCCCCCCCCCTCCTCCCCCATCTCCTCCCCCTCGTCCTCCCTCTCCTCCCTCCCCCCTCCTCCTGCCCATCCCTCTCCTCCCCTCCCCCATCCTCCCCCTTCTTCCTCCACCCCCCCAGTTCTCTCCCCCCCCTCCTCTCCCCCCTGACTTGTCCTTTTAGGGGCAGTGAACATCCCCCACCCCTCTCCTCCCTCGTCCTCCTCCTCCCCGCCCCTCCCTGGAGGGGGGAGGGGCGGGGGTGTCGCAGGCCTCCGCGCGCGGGTGGAGGGCACCCCCCTCGGACAGGTCTCCAGGGGCCGAGAATAATGTGGCCCCTCCCCGAGCCCAGCACGCAGGGCGACACGAAGCAGCATCACGGCGCGAGGTTCTCCTCCTCCTCCTCCTCCTCCTCCTCCTCCTCCTCCTCCCCTCCTCCCTCCCTCCCTCCCTCCCTCCCTCCCTCCCTCCTCCCTCCCTCCTCCCTCCTCCCTCCTCCCTCCTCCCTCCTTCCCCCTCCTCCTCCCTCTCCCTCCTGCTCCTCCTCTCCTCCTCCTCCTCCTCCTCCCTCCTCCTCTCCCTCCCTCCTCCCTCCCTCCCTCCCTCCCTCCCTCCCTCCCTCCTCCCCCGTTCCCTGCCTCCCTCCCTGCCCTCCCTCCCTGCCTCCCTACCCTACCCCCTCCCATCCCCTCCCTCCCTCCTCCCTCCCTCCCTCCCCCTCCTCCTCCTCCTCCTCCTCCTCCCCTCCTCCTCCTCCTTCTCCTCCTTTCCTCCTCCTCCTCCTCCTCCTCCTCCTCCTCCTCCTCCTCCTGCCCATCCCTTCTCCTCCTCCTCCTCCTCCTCCTCCGTTCTCTTTTCCTCCTTCACCCTTCCCCTCATCCTCCTCCTTCTCCTCCTCCTTTCTCCTCCTCCTCCTCCTCTCCGTTCCTCGTTTCCTCCTCCTCCTCCCCCCTTCTCCTTCTCCTTCTCCTCCTCCTCCTCCTCCCTCCTCCTCCTCCTCCTCCTCCTCCTCCGTTCCTCTTTTCCTCCTCCCCCTTTGTCTCCTCCTCCTCCTCCTCCTCCTCCTCCTCTCCTCCTTCTCCTCCTCCTTTCTCCTCCTCCTCCTCCTTCTCCTCCTTCCCCTCCTCCGTTCCTTTTTTCCTCCTACCCCCTTCTCCTCCTCCTCCTCCTCCTCCTCCTCCTCCTCCTCCTTCTGGGCCGTTGAGGGCCCAGTGCCCGGCGCCGGGGCCGTCAGAAGTCAGCTCGGGAGGGAGAGCCGCTCCCAGAGAAGTGATCGCTATGGCTAGTGGCTATGATCGTGGTCTAGTGGTCTAGTGGCTATGACGTCAGCCTAACACGCTGAAGGTCGCCAGCTCGATCCGGGAAAGCCGCTCCCAGAGAAGTGATCGTCTTTTGATCCCTTGTCTTGCCGATCGGCGCGGGCCCCCAACCACCCCCTCCCCCCTCCCCCCCCTCCCCCCTGGAGGAGATCTTGGCTGTCTTTAGGTGCCTGTTTCGAGCGGGAGGAGGCTCCCCTCAGAGACCGCACTCTTGCAAGCAGTCGCACTAAGCAGAGGTCCAGAGCCAGACGCCCCCCCCCCCCCCCTTTGCGGCCCAATGTCGAAACGCCGAATCAAAACAAGCTCATTTGGCCGTTGAGGGCCTACTGCCCGGCTCCGGGGCCGTCAGAAGTCCGCTCGGGATGGAAAGCCGCTCCCAGGGAAGAGGTCCACACTTCCGAAGATCCACGTCCCGAGGCCAGAATTATACATATCCTCCGCTTGGGGAACCGATGTCCCAGGGCACAAAGTGGCAGTGGATGTGGATATGTTTGTGTCCCCTTTCGTCGGGTATAGCCAGGGCCTCGGAGCCCCTAAACTGGCCAGAATCACTAAACCAGGTCTGCCGTAGCTCGTGTTTTTTCGGGTGACGGCAGTTCCGGTTAGTGGAACGGGGCGGAAGGGCGTCCCCCAGTCAATATCGCTAAACCAGGTCCCATTAAACCCAGCTCTGCCCACGCCCGATTTTGACCCAAGAATATCAACAGCCACTGCATCCGGGGGTCCTGGGGAATCGGCTCCCTATAGGCGGTGGGCATGCACGAAGTCCATCCTGGGACACGTGCCCAGGCGTTTCATTTCGACGATGTCGTTCTTCAGTGCGCGGGCCCCGAAGGTCTCCACCACCTTCTCGGGAGCAGTTTCTGGCCCCACGGCAACGTTGGGCGGCCCCGGGCCCCGCCACGGGCCTCCGGAGTGCCCGGAGCCTCCATCTCAGGGGCGTGATGCTCTCGGTCCGGAACTTTGGCTTGACACGTCGCGCCGCCGGCTCGGGCCCACCACGCCTCGGGGCGGTATAGGCTATCCCGTCCCCAGGCGCCGACGTCCCGAGCCTTTCCCAGCCTATCCCGCCCCGCGGCGCGGAGCGACACCGACACCCTCGGGGGCGGCAAAGAGGGGGGTGGTGACCAGGGTGGGGGGGCTATCATGGCGGGGGCCATGATCTTTCCCCAGATTTCATACCGCCTCTTCTTATTTCATCACGTCCCTGGCATCCCCCCCCCGGGCCGCGCACATGCCGTCGGCCATGATTTGCGCCCCCCCCCCTCTTGGACACCCCCCTCGTGGCCGCTCCCGAGACACCGGCACCCTGCCCACTCGAAGGGCATGGCGTGTCGCCGGCGCCGCCGCGGCGACGCGCTGAGCAACGCATCCCGAGCGTCGTGGGCCGCCACGTGCAGGCACTGGAGGAGGAGGAGGAGGAGGAGGAGGAGGAGGAGGAGGAGGAGGAGGAGTATCGACTCACATCAGCTTGGCAGTCTCGAGTCATTCAGGTCATTGAAGCCGTCCCGACGACTTAATTCTTTTGGCTTCCGCCAGCAGCCCGTCGGAGACTCTTTGGCGCGCTATGTCTTGCCAAGGAGGAGGAGGAGGAGGAGGAGGAGGAGGAGGAGGAGGAGGAGGAGGCGGAGGTGGAGCGAGGAGGAGGAGGAGGACAAAGAAGGGAGGAGGCGAGGAGGAGGAGAAGGAAGAGCGGAGGAGGAGAAAAGGAGGAGAAGGAGGAGGAGATGAGGTATAGGAAGAGGAGGAGGAGGAGAGGAGGAGGAGGAGGAGGGAGGGGAGAGAGGAGGAGGAGGAGAGGAGGAGAGGAGGAGGAGGAGAAGAGGGAGGAATGGAGGAAAGAGGAGGAGGAGGATGAGGAGGTGGAGGAGTGAGGAAAACGAGTGAGCGAGGGGGGAGGAGGAGGAGGAGAGGAGAGGAGGAGGAAGACGAGGAGGAAGAGGAGGAGGTCGAGGAGGAGGAGGAGGAGGAGGAGGAGGAGGAGGAGGAGGCGGAGGGGGAGGAGGACTTGCGACCCCCCCTCGTGGACGCCCCCCTCCGTGACGCTTCCTCCTGGGCGCTCCCGAGAGCGCTGCGACTGAAAGGACCAATCGCCGCCGCTATAGGCCCGCCCGCCCTCGCGTGCGCCTGCCTTCGACGGCCTTTCGTCCCTCCCCCCCCGCTCGCGCCGTCGGGGCCCGACGGGGGGCCGAGGACGTCAGCTTGTCGGGCGCCTTCAACTGTCTGTTTTTTGGGGGGTACAGTCGAGGTTGATTACTAAGTCGGCCCTGCCAAGTCAAGGGTGCCCTCCTGTCCTGCGTTTCGCGACCCACGCCTTCTACATGTCAGAGGCAATGTGACCCTCGGAAGGGTCTTGTTTCCTCTCGCGTGTCCTCTCCAATCAACCTCGACTGTAGACCCGACGCTCCGAACAAGTTCGCCGTGTTCGGCCTCTGAGGGCCCTCGCCGGGCCTCGGGAGCGGGGCGTCAACAACTGCTCAGGGAGCCTGTGTTCTTGTTTGGCTCGGGGCAAGTTTACTTGCATGGACCGGGGGAGCGGGCTGAACCTCAAGCAAGCCGCAAACGATCTGCACATGCAGAATTCACGCAAGTCGGAAGGTTCTTGCACGCTAGTAGTCTTTTGTAGAGTGGCGAGGGGGGGGGGCGGGGGGGGGGGGAATGCCATGTAAGTAAACTTGCTTGAATGAAACAAAACAGGATCAGGACGAAACACCGGCCCTGGGTAAGTGGTCCAGACCTCCGTGGCCCACGGATCGAACAAAATTGAGCAGCCGGATGTCTGGGGAGAGGGCATGCCACGCGCGCAGTGAGGTGGAGTGGCCGTGGCGAGGCGGCTATGATGCCCGCCTCAAGGAACATTATCGAAGACGCCTGCGGCGAATCCCGCCGCCCCCTGCCTTTCAGGATACGCCTGTGTGGCCAAGCGTCTGGGCAATATTTGGCCACGCTACTGGACCGTGCGTTCCCCCAGCCGTTGTGGAAGCCCTTCGGGGAGCACGTGTGGCTGGAAGGGGAGGATGAGGAGACGGAGGGAAAAGGAGGGTGAGGAGATGGATGAGGAGATCCTTTGAGAGCTTCTTGGGGTCGTTCTCGGGCTCTCCTGGGAGCTTCCCGGGGGGCCTCCTGGGGCCGTTGGGGGGTCGTTTGCTGCTTCTCGTGGCCTGTGTGGCCCCCTTTGCAGCGCTCCTGGCTCGTCTCACGCCGTCGGAAGCTGTCTTTGGAGCCTCTCGGGGCCATCTTGGGGCCCGCTTGGGGCGCTCCAGGGTCGTCTTGTTCGCCATCTTAGGCATCCTGGGGGCCTGGTGGGCGGTCCTGGGGCCCTCGTGGGGTCGTCTTCGGGGCCTCTTGGGCCGTCCTTGGGCCATCTTCGAGGCCTCTTGGGCGATCTTGGGTCAATCTTGGGGGGCCTCTTGGGCCATCTCGGGCCATCGGAAGGCTGAAAAGAAGCAAATGCCAAAACCTCCAACAACTCATCGAACATCAACGTTGTTGGCTTCTTCGGGCCTTCCTGCAGGACCTCTTGGAAGCTACTCTGGCCGTTCTAGGGGCCTCTTGGGCAGTCTTGAAGCCATCTCGGGCCGTCTTAGCGGCTTCTTGGGCGGACTTGGAAGCATCTTGGATCCTCTGGGGCCGTCCTGGAGGCCATCGTGGACCATCTTTGGCGAACTTGGAGGCCATCTGGGCCGTCTTGGAGGCCACCGA